CTTGAAATATTCTGCTATTCGAATGTTCAATTATTCAAATATTCTGTACACCATCAGAATATTTTCTTGATTATTCATTATTTTTACAATAAATTTTTATATTCCGTTTTATCAAAGAAGAAATAAACAATATTAATTGTTCATATTTACATTATATACAACATTAATTGTTATTTTTTTTTTGTTTTTTTTTTAAATCGCTTGTAGCTATGAAATAAAGTAAAATATTTTTTTATATTATTACTATTCAATATTATTACATAAACAAATTATTAGATTGATTAAAAATGATCAGTATCATATCAGATGAACTTTTATTAAAATAATTAATACTCTTCTCATTGAATACTACATATAATTATATATATTTGAATATAAATTATAAAACAATTGATCAATCGATTTTAAAATCTCTTGAATATTGAATATTATTAATTCATTTGGAATTGAATAATTAATCTTTTGTAATTTTAAATTATTTATATTTTCTTCAATGTTATTTTGCCTTGTTTTCACATTCGTTCATCAAATTATATCAATCTTCATAAGAGTCATTCTTTGTTGATCATCCAATTGACATGTAAATATGTATCTTTGTTGATTTCTCATTATTTTCTCAAAAATATCAAATCATATGCAATTTTAAATATTCAAGAAAAGAGTCTCGGTATTGATCCAACTTTATTTCTTACGATCGTTATTAATTTATATGTGGTCACCCTATATAACTGCAAACTTGTTTTGTTTTAATACAACGAATTTAAAAGCAAAATTAGAATGGTTTTATACAGATATACGTAATTTTCTCGAAACTTGATGCATTTAATTGAAGAATTTTCTTCTTTTTTCTTTTTTTACAATATTAATAAACTTTATCATTCAAATAATTATTCATATTAATAGTTTAAATTACAATATTTGAGAAATTTATATAGTTACCTATATATTTATAATAATATTAACAAAATAATTTTTTTTACTTATTAAAATTATAATTAAATGTACATGTACAATAATATTATATCATATAAATATCAAATAAATTCTTGTAAATGCACAAAACATATTATATAATATATTATGAATATTTCTTTTAAAATAATCCTATGTGATGAAATATGCACATAAGTATAAAATAAAATTTATGTTCTTTCATTAATCATTAATAGAATTAATATTTATAAGTATGTCTTAAAGAAGTATATAAATCTTGTTTAAAAAATATATTAAATATATATTATATATAAAATAAAAGTCGCATAAAAGTAAATTTCTTGTGTTTAGAATTAAACTTGAGTTAAAATCTGTTGCAATGCTCGCAAAGCTTCAAGTTGTAGATTACATTCCGCACACAGTGTATACGGCGTTAACTCAATTAACATCTCAGGGAGGATAAAGCATACATTAAACTCTCATTCATACCGATAGCTAAAACCTTTGAACGTCATCGCAAACAACCTGTGACACAAAGATCAAACAAATCACCCAAAATAATGAATAGATTTGATATTTTTCGAAAGAAGCTTCTTTTGTGAACCACCTTTGTAAACTTCAATTTCGAACTGCATATATAAGATGATTCATTTAATTGGAAATGATATGGAATATTCGAGAGATTGTTGTTCAAAAAATATTTTTACAAAAATTGCAGATTATGTGATATTAATAGTTTTTTCATAATGGGATTATATAATTTTTAATATATCAATCGTGCAGTTCTTTATTTCCCTCAAAAAAATATTTATATCAAAAAAATCATTAAATTTAAGTGAAGTTTGCGAAACTTTATCAAATCATAAAAGACATTATGAAACCTATGTGTATAATATTTAATATAAAATATAAAATATAAATATAAAATCCAAATTTAAAAAAAAAATGATTTATAATAATAAAAATATTGTAGTATAATGCATTTAGAACAATCTAATAATTTGATTTATTTATCAAACTTTTTTTTACTTGCCTATATTACGGTGCTATACACGATGTTACATATTTATTACTTATAGTTCTTTGATACGAATTCGAATATTTTAAAATTTATATTCAAAATTACTGTAATTCGGCTGATTATTATATCTTATCAACATGTTGATTCCAATCAATCGGATTTCTGATGTCTAATCATTAGTGACTGATATAACAGAATGATTTTCAAGCTACCCACGCTCGGTTCGATATCGTGCAAAAGAATCAGGTAAAACAAGAATCGAATTATAAAGAATTTAGTATTTAGTCGGAACTAGATTGTTGAATATTACGTTTAATTTTTTTCGTATGAAAAAACTAACTTATTCGAAATAACTTTTTTGAATACAAATCATAATTGGTATTGAATCTTGATAATTGACAAGCGAAGTTATTATAAAATATTTCACTTTAATTTATAATCTTATGATTTATAATTTACTATAAAATATTTTAAAAAATATATATATTATAGACGTGTTTCACTGTCTATTTCTAATAATTCCTAATAAACTTAAAAAAAAATTTCCTTACATTTTTAATATAATTCCACTTTATATAGGGACACGTCAGATATGAAAAACTTTGCTATTGAAATCCAAGGATACATGCATACGAAATAAGAATTGCGACTTTTCTTCGATTTAACTCGTTGGTTCCAACTTCTTATGGATCAGCTGTGTGTACTTTTGACCCATTGCCTTTCCTCTTTTATATTATATGTACACCACAAACTTAAAATTAAAAGTCTATTGATGATAAGAATGATATAAGTTTATGTACTTTGAACATAAGTGTATTTTTGTGTTAAGATATGACTAATAAGCATTTTATTGACGTCATTAATTTTGTTTTTTATTTAAAATTCATCAGTCAGTATCACTATCATTATCACTATCATTATTTCATCATATTTATGTACATTTATGTATCTATTATATATCTATGTACATTATATGCATATATTATAATGTCTTAATAATTGAACTGTTTTTTTCGTTTGTGTGTTATTGGATATAAGTACAATGACAATGTGGTAATCTTTATTTGATGTATTTATGTAAATAATAATAATTTCATAAATGAATAATATATTTTTTAAAAATTTTTATTTTTCTCATATTTTCTTCATATTATTCATATTATTCATATAATTATGACATAAATTACTTTAATCAAAATGACATAAAATTAAATAAAAACAGAATTATTGCACAAAAAGATTGTAAAATAATTTTAAAACAACGTCTATCAATGAGTATTTATAAGAATATTTATATGAATAGCGTAGCATATGATAGAAGAAAGATTCCATGATAAGAACGTTTAACGCATTTTTAGATCAATTTATTCAAACATTTCCAATGCCACGTTTAATAACAAAGAAAACACGAAAATTGGTGCACAACAATATTATCTGATTGCAAATCATAGTCTTTTGTCAAAAACGAATTAATTATCCAAAATCCATCATATAAGATTTGTTGTAAATTATGATTTATCATTATATACGTATTTTACTATATTTTTCTTGTTAAAAATATAAAATATATATTAATCAATATTTTATTATAATGTTAGCTATGTTATTCTTATTATATTCTTATATAATTCTTATATAAAACTATTCTTAACTATTTCTATAAAACTTATATTTTTTTAACTTAACAAATTATATAATTCCTTTTTAATCTATATTACATACTAAATCACTTTCTTTTTAACCATCAAATAATATCATAAAATCAATAAATAGATAATAAAATTAAAATAAACTTATAATTTTTTTCATATTATCTTTATTTAATAGAAAAATTATATTTCAAAATACGTGATCAATTAACAATTGATTTTTTTTTTTACAGTGTGTGTTCGCAAAGTTTAGTGTTGGAGGGGATAAGTGAGACTTGGCGACGAACAAAAAGGGTGTTTTCGGACACCAAAAGCTGGGGCACCCTGACGAGGAGGTCCTGGAGGAGGAGGTGGGTCGTAGGAGAGAGGAAAGAAAGGAGGTGACCATCCACCCCACATGGACGCCACCCCCAAAGGACCCTCCGTATCCCCCACATCGGATATCCTGTCATCATTACCTAGCTGCAGAATATCCGACCTGAACGTAAGGGCACCGTACTCTGCCCTATATCGTCCTCAACGTTCTCGTCGAATATCGAGACATCCATCACTTGATGCTCGCCGTACGACGAAAACGACCACCTACGTGTCATCTTTATCTTATACGTGCCTCAATTTCTCTCGTCTTTTTTGCTGTAAATTGAAACAATTGCCGATTCTCTATCTCCACGTCCTCGATAATAATAATCAACCTGTACACTCGCAGAAGTTAAACATCCGGACCAAAAACAGAAGAATTGCAACATCAAAAAATCAAAGTCGCTACTGGTTTCCAAAAACGAATGCCAGTTCACCAAAGACGGCTTTAAGGACAAGAAATAACGTAGAATCGTTCTCAACGATATTAAATTTGTGGAATAGAGACAGGAAATCATTTTTTACTCTCGTTTTTACACCACGACGATCGTGCCGTAAATTTGATGCATTTTTTACAACACAAATCGCGAAGCGTTTTCAAGTCGAAAAAGTACTTTTAACAGGCGTCACTTTTTACGTGAAACATATCTATAGACTCCGTCCAAAAACGCCTAACTCTGAGCTGCAGCCTAATAGATCACACAAACAATGTCGCGCAGCGCTGTCACGCGTCCTATGCAAGGTAAGTAATTATTAAATTATAACTGTATATAACTGTGTTAATACTTTCATAATGTCATTTATTGATATAACATTATTATGATCAGTTCATACATATTTATTCAATGATTTTCATTTTAAACGGTATTTTGATAAATATTTTGTTTTATTTTGATGTATTATTGAGAAATGTATCTTGGATGTAACTGTTGAAATGATGCAACACATTGTTATCATGAAATTTCGAATAATATTGTTTTATCATTATTTAAGGTTTGTCAAATGATTAATAACTCCCTCTAGAAAATATATTCGATATCTAAATCATATTGAGGCAAATGAAAATATGATGATATAAATATTTGCTGTTTTATGTTTAAAACTCTAATGCTAAAGATTCACTTGTTTGACAATCGTTAACGTAGCAATCCTCTTTACCCCCAAATGGTGGATGTTTCTCGATAATATGCAGTGGTTGTTGCCTTGAAATTTCATGGCACCACCGGCGAGGTGACTTGTGGCGCCGTCAAGGGACGACGCCTTGAAGTCTCTAGACGATCATTGAACAATACTTCGTTCGACGACTCGGCTCTTCGTTATACCTTTCAAAGTGCAAAGCACGCCGCCGTGCAACGACACCCTCGTGCAGTGCGTGAGAAACGTGATATATGTACGGTGTGTGACATATAAATTTCGATACTCGTATTCCGTAATCAATAATCCATAATTGATACATATAATTCACGTTCAAAGGTGTCAAAAATGATGGTTATAGTGATGACAGTGCTGACAGTGCTAAAAAACATAGAATGCCGGTGCCGATATTCGATAATCGTCGAAATAATAGACGGTACTCGCCCAATACGCATCGGTTGATCGGTTTACCGGAAATTATAAAAAAAAATCATAATATCAGTGTCGTACTTCAATCGAATCGTCGTTGTCACCGTCGACATTGTGCGACATTCTGATGTGAATTTCTATGTGGTTGGTTCTCGTATTTTGAAGGAAATATCTTAAACGAACTATTCATTATCATGCATATGTTTTGAATATTTTTCGATGCGTGAAGTAAATGAAAATTTTTTTGTTATAAAATTTATTTTGAACGGCCTCGATATGTTCTCTCATCAACGACGATCGTTATAACGACGTCGCCCTCGTCGACGCGGGCGCTTCGACCGCTTGTACCCTTGCACTGACTGCGAAAACAACGAGGTAACCTGATTCCCTTAGAAAAAAAACGAAGGTCATATATTACTGCAGAAACGATTATATGTCTGTCTATTAATGTTGAAAAGGAAAATTAGGAAACTATTGCTATATGTTTCATTTTCATCAATTATATTACGAAATCAACGAAACAATCAGGAATCGATATGATCAAACGTTATATGTCGATGACATTTTATCAGATATAGTACCGGTAATCGGTCAGAATGATCAACGATAGGAGACATCTGATAAATATATATAGTGTGTGTGCGCGCGCGCGTTGTGTGTGTGTGTGTGTGCATTTATATGAACACACGTTGTTGAAACATTAGTCAATAGCATTTAAATGCTTATAGAATATTATCTATATACATAATGTTAGGATTGTTAAATGTCGATAGATATAATTTTATATTATATATTTATATCACTTTTTTTCATGTATATCTTAATAAAAAAATTTATTTTTTAATAGATAAAGATATTATTTAAATGATTATTTATAGTCTGTAATGTATTTAAAACATGCTGTTAAATGATATACTTATTAATTTTTTTTTAAATAATGCTAATTATTTACTTATCTTAAAATTTCATTGATGATTTATATAAAAAAAAATGAAATAGGTGTAGTTAATAGTTGGAATTGCATGAATACTTTTAGAGACGGCGCCCATTTAGCAATTTTCTAAGCAAATGTAAATCTAGCAGTAAATGATATGCTTGAGATTGGTATCGATGATTATGGATGATAATTTTATTTTATAATTATTTTCTACAATATGTAGAAACTATGATAAAAATATTAGAATATAAAATCATTTTATTTTTTTAAATATCTCATAATTTAGATTAAAAAAATAAATTAAAAAAATATCTTGCATTTAAATATGATATAATATCGAATATTATATTTTTATATTATATATATTTCATATATATATATATGCATAATGTTTATAAAATAATTGTAATAGTAATTAATAATAATATAAATTGAATGGTAATTTTCCTTTTTAATATTATGAATTATTATTTGTTATTATTTGTTTAATTATATAGTATTTTGTTTTTTTGTGCAAATTTAAAAAAAAAATTGAATCATTACAAAGTATTTTAATATTTTCAATGATAACAATATTCAAAAAACTGGCATAAATTACGTAAAATGAATAAAATAAATAATCATTACGTAAAATGAATTTAATTTTATACAATTATTTTATATATTTTTAATTTATTTCTCATATTTCCTTAAATGAACAAATATGAACAGATATGATAATGATTCTATGCTAGGAAAGATATTAAGATTATATTTTGATATATAATTTGAAACGGTAATATCATAAAAATAGTAAAAATTAACATCTTTTATTTAAAATATATTAATTAATTTTAACAATGATCATATAATATTCAATCAAATATATATATTAAATTATATGAAAAAAATGTTTTGAATTAAATTATAAAAATATCGCAAAATTTACTATAATAATTTTGAAAAATTGCAATATAATAGAACTCGAATTTCTATATCTTCTTCCAGTTTTTTAGTTCGAGACTTGCTGAACTTGGTATATACTGTGTCAATGCTTGTAAGAGCTTACATATTAAATTCCGTAAAAATTTCTCATGAAACTCCTTACATTTATCATTGGAATTGTGTTCCCTTTTATTTTCCGTTACTCTTTGAAACTTTCCAAACACGACGCAATGTCTGCATTCTCATTCTCATTAACGTTTACTGTTCCTTTTTTTTTCAAAGAATAAAAAAATTTTTTTTATTTCTCTCTTTTTTTTTATCATTCACAAAGAAAGAAATGATTATTTATGGTCTGTAATCTAGATACTTCAGCAATTGCAAAGATGCAATTAAATAGATAATTTCATTGATATCAATAACTAAAATTATGGATCAGTGCCAATTGTTGAATTTAAGATCAATTACTCATAAGAGCTAACATGTAAAAAGTTTGCAAAATGATTTCTCACTGCAATTTTAACCGCATTATTTTATATGGCATAAATTATGATTATGCATTAAAAAATTTTTATATTGCCAAGACAATTTTGGATATTATTAATATTTAATTGATAATAAGATACATTATTAATTTTTTTTAATGAAAAAAATAGAAAAATGAAAATTAAAATTCTTGCTTTATTATATATATATACATATTTATATTTGATAATAAAAAGAGCTATGGAAATTTTATTATTATCTATTTTTTTCTTGCTTTTTAAAATAATATATTTGCACATATATCGATATGATTTTTAATTTGTCAAAAACCAATTTGGCGAGAGGCTTCTCGAATTTCAGTTTATTTCTGAAGTGAAATAACGTAGTAGAAGAAGGGCGTGGAAACGAGATCTCTTCTAGCTTTTCCATTATCATTGAAATGACGAATATTTTCAAGCAAATTTCAAGTGAATCTTGCTAAAACGAATTATAAAAAATTTTATTACAAATTTATATATTGTGATAGGTTATTATACAAGACATATTAGAGATTCGATAATTTTAACACTTCTCTAAATTATCATATTTACATATTGTAGATATATTAATATATTATAAATTAAATTAAAATTTTATATTATAAATTAATATTTTATATTATATAATATTAATTATTAGAATAGAAATTTTAAAATTTAAAATTTTATTAGCTTAGCATATGTACAAGCAACAACTAGAAAAAAAATAATAATTTGTATTGTTTTGTAAGTTTGGATAAAAAAATAGAAAAAAAAAATAAAAGTCTGTGAAACAATCAGTTTGTTTTAACAGAGAAATTCCATATATATATATATATATATATATTATTTATTTATTTATTTTTTATATTATTACATTATCAATATTGCTGTTAATATGTTTTTTTAATTATTATAAATGAAATTATCTAGTACCTTCAACATTAGAAAAGAATTTCGATGCCAATTAGTGATCGTTTCTATAAAGAGATGATATAATATAAAATCATATTAAGAAATCTTATAATTTTTATAATTCATGAAAAGAATTTTCGAAATATATGAGATACAATTGAATATGATTAAGTATCTATATATATGCTTGCACTTTCGATTTATCGTTCAGTAAAGTTCATAACATCGTGCGCCTATACCAGAACAATTCTTCTTGAAGTATCTACACACTAAGTGTAGATACTTCAATATATGAGAAATTGTATTCGTTCTACAAAAGCAATTTCCGCAAAAACATCAATACAATTCTAACCGATTGAGAACCACTGGCACCTTACGTAAGAACCATTATCGTGGCTCTCGCGTCTTAGAAGATCGGCTAGCAGACTGTCTTACTCTTCTTCGTCATGGATTTTCTGGAAATCTTTAACCGAATTATAGATCGTACTAAGAATCGCTAATATTTTAAGAAAGTACACACATCGGATATTTTCGTTCATAGACGCCCAAAACAACTTCGTCAAACTCTGACATCATTCGTGTATATGGAATCAAGGACAAATGAAGAAAAGATCACTGTTAAAGGATTCGAACTCATATATTCTATTTTTATCAATAGGGGATATTATTAGATTGAAATTATATTCTATATTTTTTTCTATGAGCAAAGTTTTAATTATCAAACAGATACATATTATTTTATCTTTAATATTATTGTAAATAACTATATAATTCAAATTTATATATAAAATTATTTAAAATAGAAAATTCATTTTCCATAAACATATGAACATTAAATTTTAAATTAATTTTTGGATTTTATTAATTTTATAATTAAAGATTTTAAAATATTGTTGAAGTTTAAAAATTTAAAAATGAATATTTATCAGTTACAATATAGAAAAGGAGAATGTGTTGAAATTTCTCTATTTAGTGCCAATCTCTGAAATTCATCAATAATAAATTATATACATGTACAATCCCTCTGTTCTCACATGTCATGCAACAAGTACAAAATGTATACATAACCGCATACAGGCGACACAACGTCTCCGTATATGTGTACTATATGTGTTCTCATTTATTTTATATAATTGTATATAACATTAATGATTTAATCAAGAAATAATCTCTACAAATAATTATAATGTTTATTTCTTGATGATTAACATTATATTTTGAAATATATTAAAATATATTTTAAATACTTGCAACATAACATGGACTTCTATTCTAACCTAAATTTATCAAAAATTTCTTATAAAATGTAAAATAACATAATAACAAAAATATGATCACTTTTATTTTTCAATTTATTTTTAAATTCAAATGAAAGTAAAATTATTCAACAGGTCAATCTAACAAGAATAACAAAGTATTTATGACCAATGTTTCATCAACATATTGCAAACATTCACAGTTCAATTTTAGCATTTCAAAATTGTTTCCTAATTTTCACTTATATTTCGACAATAATGACACTTTGCGAATGAACGAAATAGGAAACAAATGCTTACATATGCATGCAGGATCAAGTAATGACTCAAGGAACGATTGATTTCTTTGCAGAAATTCCCTGAACTACGCATAAGAAGTTAACCACAAATAGCTATCAAGTCGCGGTACTTCTTTCAACGATATGAAGTGTTTCGAGTTTTCGTCTCGAAAACAATATCGATATTATCACGTGACACGATATATTTTCCATACTTCACTTCAGGAATATAGAATTGTGGAATCTTATTGCGATATTTTATAAATGAATTCGTGACGAATTTAATTGATTTCTTGTGAATTAATCAAGGACATCAAGAAAAAGTCAAAAATATATGAAACAAGATATTATATTATTATACTTGTCTGCAAGTAATTCGTAGGAAACAGTGAAATTTTTATAATAAATAAGTACATGTATCACTAGAAGAAAAATGCCAATTAAAGAATACAACTATCAAATGATTAGTAGAAATGTGAATATAAATAGGTATCGTGAATCAACGAACATAAAATTTACGGGCTAATGCCGTCCTGCACTTGCAATGATTCGCGAGGACGAAGAAGAGGAGGGACTCAGGTGGAAATATGTAAGAGACGAGGCGGACATCGTCTCGTCGGCACGACTAAAGTGCCACGAGGAAGAAGAGGTTGGCCTTATACAAGGTTTATAGTTTGCGTAGGATAGACGATGAGCGTCGAGGTTGACACGCTGGAACTCGAGGTCTTCGAGGTGAGTCCTCCAATCCTCTCGAGGACACGATGAACGGAAGTCGCGTGGTGATCGGCAAGGATGCAGGAACTTATTTGAAGTCGAAACATATTAGTGTGAGGATGCTAGTAAAGCATATATTAATTCTTGATAAAGAAAATAATAATTGGTTTATAACATTTTACAAATATTTGATTGTAGTATTTCTTTCATTGAGATTTCTATTTTAGATATTTGCTTTTATCAATTAAATATTAAAAATAAATCATTTGAGTATAATGATGTATCTAAATTAATTATTTATAATCATAAGACTGACCATAATTCCATAGATTAGAAACAGAATGTAGGATTATAGAATATATCAATATGAAATTGAATTTGAAAAAATCTATTTTATCATATAAATATTAAATATAAATATTATATATCATATAAATAAATTCATATAACAATTTTTCTCTTTTAGAAGTAAAAATAAAAATAATGTTTAGAGACAATAAATTGGGAAGTATATTTTATAATAGATATTTATAAAATCAGAATATATATATATAATATATATATAATTACAACTTACATATTAGAATACCAGAATATGATAAAAAGTATTTTTTCGTTACGATATATGGTCAACCTAATGATTGTAGTAATAATTTTGTAATTTTATCATATGCTTTGTTTGGTATATATATTGTGCTGTAAATTAAAAAATTTTTTAAATTAAAATATATGTTGCTATCAGTTAATAAATATTTAAAATTGTAGTTCTTAAAAAGTAATTTTAAAATTTCAGCTATTTTAATTGTTAAATATTGATGTATTTTTTAAATATTTTCATGGGATTTCCGTTCGATGACTCTCGTGTGCCGTTTGATGATCACTGCACTTTTTGTGATTCCCTATATGTACTAAAATATTTTTTATATTTTTAAAATTAAAATATACAAAAATATAGAAAAAAAAATAACTTGTAAGTTTAGTATAAACTTTATTATTAATGACAAAGGAATAAAAGCAGTAACATTTTTTTGCACCATTTAAAATTATTTTGTGTAATTTTATTGACTTTTTTATTTAATATATCATTTTTTATTATATATTAAAGATAACAAACAAGAAATATAACTATATATGAATACGCCAATTGTATAAAGATTATATTTGATGGATGAATTACTTTGATTAAATACAAGCATACTATAAATAGATTATAATATAAACCTACTTTTTCTTTAGCACATAGAATAATTCTCTGAAAAGGAATTTTTTCATTTTATTTCATTATTCATTATTAAGCTAATTATTGTGCAATTATTCATTTTTTTCTATGTTTTTATATAACATAAATTTTTAAAATAAACATAATTTTTAAAATAAATCGATAACTTTTTAATAAAAAGAGTAATAATTTTCTAAAAATTATGTTATATAAATATTTTAATAGAAAATAAAATTATTTCTCAAAGAAATAAATTATAATAAATATATAAACTATATTTATGATAAGAATATAAAAAATATTAATATAATAATTTTTTTGTGTTAAATTAACTTACATTTTTATTGATTTTTTTTATTATCTTTAAAAAATAATTGATGATATATTTGCTGACACAATAATTACATTTATTTCATTTCTAATAAATTAATAAATATTATATGATGATCGATATAACCACACTTCAATCATACATTGAATAGCGTTCAAGGGTAATCGTTAGAATCCGATTAACGAAGATACAAATTACTGTGTCAGTGGAATCCTTACATGGTTTCGAGAATTAATTTTCTAAATTTAAGAATAATTCAAATAAGAAGAATTGAGCCTTTATTATGAGATCAATTAAATTGTAAATAAGTTGTAATGAGAAAAAATTGTAAAAGAAAATAATTGGAAAAAACTGATTTAAAAATGATTTAGATTTTTTATGATATACTTGTAAATGGAAAAAGAACGTAGGAAGGTAAGAAATAGAGGAATGGATAAGAGACGTGTTTGGTAATCCAAAAGTCATCAGTTCAAATCTTGTTTCGGGTTTTTTAAAATTCTTTTCATATGTTTTTTCATGCAAGTTTACAGGTCTTGTTATAAATAAATATCATTATTATTTGTAACATGAAATACTTGCAAGAATAATGATTATTGAGGTGTTTCTATGAGCCAGTTTTGAGAATAATATTCCTCAAAGTGGTCAAGCATACCTCAAACAATCTTTTTTTTTTTTTTTTAATATAGAAGTATATTAATTTATATACAAGATAATATAAATCACTAAAAATTTATTTATTACTTTTACTTCGTTACCAAATTCGTTCGGCTAAAATTATTTATAAAAAAAAAATATTTTTTAATTAAATAATAATGAAATATATTATGCTAATAAATGTAATAATTCTTGATAAATAGCGTTAAGTGAATTAATCTTTGTAACATAATAAAGATCTCTTATTTAATTTTATGATTATCTACATATCGTGGTTTTATTGCAGACGCCGGAAAAGTCTGACGACTTGTATCGTATGCTGTCCATGACACATTTTCACACGCGTCCAAGCTATTCTACCATCCCGCACTTTTGAACTAGTTTTCAAATACAACTTTCTGGAGCATCAACAGTCTTTAATCATTTTTCTATGCCCGTTTTATAAACATTGTACTTATAATAAACTAATATCAGAAATTGGTCACAGATAATGTAGTATACGTAAAGCAATTTTTTTCACGTAGACTAACATGTATTCTGTGAATAAAAAGATTTATTTAAATCAGATTTTGTTCTAAATTGTTTTTGCATGAAAAAGCATTTGTTATTTTATCATCATACAATTATGGTATATAGTATATGGTATATAAAAATTTATTTTTTATAGAATTTTTGAAAATTTGAATAAAAAAATTGCATTAAGGTATTCAATTAGGAAAATCAATTGTATTGAATTGTGTAAGGATTATTTATAAATAAAATAAAACTTATCTACGTAACTATATAATTATATATAGTTAATTATATATAATTATATATAGCTTCTGATGAAAAATATTTTATTTTATTATATTATATATTAGCATGCATTCATTACGTATATATTATATTATATATTATAATATATTATATTATATGTATTATGTATTATATTATATATTGTTATTTTATTATGAGAACGAGACGTTTAATATATAATTTTTTCTTGATAATATGAAAAAAATTTTTCATTTAAAAAAATAAAAAAGTAAAATTATCTTCCAGAAATAGAAATAAAAATATCAAAATTTATATTCTTTTATTAATTATTTTACTTAAATATTCTAACATAATTAACATTTTAATCTTTAAAATTTAAAATTTTAATTCATTTTTCATAATAATTTTTAATATTTCATATACACATAAATTTTTATATATCTTCATTAGATATTTTCAACTATGACTTTGAAATTTAATATGTACTTAATATGTACTACTTAATATGTACTAATGAAATTTAATATGTACTTTCTCCTTTTTTTTATTCATAGAAATTTCATTAAATTTCCAAGATTACTTGCGATGCAATAATGTGAATTTATATCGATTATTCGTCTTTTTTAAAATTTGGAACATGAATTCGAAAAGACGCGTTTAGAACGCTCTGTGCATTCTGCATTTTTATCTTTCTTTTCTTTCGATAGGATAGATGTTTCTAGTAGTCTGCGCATCGTCAGCTTATTTTCCTTTCTCTTTGGAGCTGCGTAAACATCAGGGAAAAATAGAAATCGCTACCATTAATGATTCACCTCGAATCCTATCCGATTACTCTTGTTTAAATCTATTTAAATCTTTATTGTCTATTCTTTTTCGTATTAATTCAATCCTTTCGTTGGAAATAAATATTTTGAACGAACTGATTAAACGGAAAATTTCAATTCTTTTAATCGCTCGAAGATATAAACTAGTTTAAGATTGAACGATGAATATTCATGATCTATAATTATACCTAGTGCACTCTTATTCAATGGCGTAATCGTTCCTTTTTATTGAACAAATATGACAATTTATTTTCGAAATATATTAAAATTTATTGCCATTTTAACAATTTTTTCTATATTCAAGTATTCTTCTATATTTTTTAATTGAAAGAAAAAAATTATTTAATAAATTTTTGTCAACATTTATTTCATTTTTAATTTACCAACATTCATTTTCTAAACTAATAAAAAAAAAATATATTAACTAAAACTATTCGTAACAAATATAATCAAATATTCTATAAATATAAAATTAAATGTAAATTAATAACAAAAATTTGAAAAAAAATAATAATCGTAATAAATATATATTCAAATGAACAATGAAAAGAAAAGAAAAAAATGAAGTAAGAAATACATAGGGAACCATGAAAAAAAAAGCGCATCAATCATATCGAACGGCGTGTCCTCGACCAATACGTTATACGTTTTTTATCGCGAAACTTATAATACTATCATGTGATAACCAAGGTGAAGGACTGCGACGAGGCGGATAAAGTCTCGGTAGCATGCACGGCGACAAAATCGGATGCAGAAGATAGCCGGAAAGGATCGACGACTGCTGCGTCGATATACAACGACGATGATAATTCTGGTTCGAGCAGAAAGAAGAAGAAGAAACGTCGAAAAACTAGGAAGAAACAGCAGTTACAGCTACAACAATTGCCGCAGAATACCGATAGCCAGCAAGTGCACTCAGTGTTGAATCTGCCATCATCTTCGGACGAGGTTGAGGCAGTTGGCGAATGCTCGAAAAGAGACTCATCCAGCAGTCTGGGTGGCGCAAGCAGGCACAATACTTTACGAGAATCATTGCTTACTGTGCTAGGCAAATTGGTGATATGGAAAGGCACTAGATATCGTTCAAATACTACTGCGTCATCTTCATCCTCGGCGCCACCAAATTCGCCCCCCGCGACAGAGTGCATAGGCCGTAGCACTTCCTTTTTCTGCAGCGGTGAGTTTATCCTCGTGAATTTTCATTGTTGTATATTTGAATATACAAAATTTTCGAATGATATAAAGAAAAATATAAGGAGTGGTATCTAAAATATATGTAATACAATTGATTCAAATTAATAGTATTCTAATTTTATATGAATATATAAACGAGCTTCTCGCATTCTCATGTATTTTGTTGTAAGATTAAAATAGAAAAAGGAAGGAATTGTGCTTCATTTATTGTATTGTCTTCTTTCTAAGCTATGACACATAAGAGAGCGAAAGAACTGCGTAAAGGCGCTATCCATGGATAGCATTAATAAAAAAGCATTAAATAAATGATGAAAAATAGTTTATATAAATTTCTTTTTGTAATACATTTTATTGGAATTCTTTTCAAATAATTAAACTGTGTCGTTTTAGAAAATGATATTTTGAAAATGAATTTTATAATTGCATTACACATATATTTATATAAAAAACTTGAATAATTCTTACAAAGGAAATTATTTTGTAAAAATATCATTACAATTGATAATTCCTTTTATATATAATAAATTTGAAACTTGATAAATTTTTATCTTTTGAGATAATAATTTGAATATCTCGAAAATTAATATCTGTAAAATTTTATATTTTATATAGTATCAAATCAATAAATTATAATTTAAAATTGCCTCTGATATTTTCTTAGTATAGTTCTGAATTCGAGTAAATCGATATTGAAGATTTATTCAAGTACGCGTGCACTTAAACGTGACCTCACTAATGCTTCAATCTAATGTACATTATTACACACTATTTGTATTGTCTTTTGTTTATAATATTAAAAAAATAATAAAAATAAACGATAAATTATCAAAAATAGCCCGTTTCTTTTATTAATATACTTATTATGTTTTATATACATATTATATTTTTATAAAAATTATTTAAATAAATTTTTCAAGATATATTCAGAAATTTTATATTTTCATTTTAATTTTTTATTCAAAACATCACTTTTTGGATTGTATCCATTAATTCAATGTCAAGTATAAAAGTATTAAAAAATGGAGAATTAAATTTTTTACTATTTTTTATCGTAAAGTGAAATTTATATATTACATAATTAGTAGAGCTATAAAATATTATAATAAAAAATAACTATAATAAAAAACTAAATGAAATACGCATATACATTCTTTTCTCATTCTGTATCTAAAAAGTAATATTTCTATGTATTTTTAATCTTTCAGATTAAAATTTACTAAAAATAATAAAACATTGAAATTATTTTTCTAAGAATGACACAGTTTATTTCCAAAAAGCTTTTAATTATGAATCTCTATGATCTAAACCATAAATAATATTTTATATAATATTTTATATAAACTATATGATAAGAAAGAAAATAAATATTTAATTAAAAATAATATTAAAAAATATCCTACAAACATCAAGTTTATAGTTCTATTATGATCAGATGACGTGGATTGCAAAACAAAAAAGCAATACTTTTGTATACTTTAATAACTTTGAATGAAATTGTTATTATATGGATATCAGGGAATTATACACATTATTTATAATTATATGGATATTATACATATTACTCAATTTGGTTATTCCAATGTAATTTTGTAATTCATTTTGTTTGCAAAATACAATTCGCGATATTTGATCACATCCTGAATATGTAAAATAAATGTATAGGCTTTAATAGTTTTGATTTAGCAGTTTATTTATTTAATTTTAATCATGTAAATATGACGGAGTTTTTACTTTGTTATTCAGTTCCTTGAAAGTTACACAATAAAATTATTACAGCAATATTTACATAATTTCCATTTATTCCATTACTTTAATTTTACTTTTTACCTTTAATATATTATTATATTATTGAAGAATTCATAAGGAATTGAAAACTATATTTTACTTTTTATTTATTTAATTCTGTTTAATATTCATAATTTTATCTTCTCTTATTGAATTTATGTTGTATTTAATAATGAGATATAAATCTAAATTATGAATTTAATGAAAATCATTTATATAATGTATACAATATACTGTTTTTTTTTAAAATTAACTTAGAAATAAATTATATCATTCATCATAAATCAATTATAGTAAGTAAATGTTTTCTTGTATAATATTCTAATGCTTAAGTGGTAATTCCGGTATTTTTTGTAAGTATATTGTACTTACATTTCAATAATAAATTTTACATAGAATATTATTATTATACTAACGAATAATATAATTTAATTAAGTAAATTTTTAACAAAAGCAAAAAAAATTTTAAAATCATTGTTATAATAAAAAAAAATGAAGAATACCGTTTAATGAGAATCATTGATTTTCTTGATATAAAAATTTATTTGTAATTTGATGATCTTATATATAATATATTATCATAATTTAATATCGTTTTTTTTTTTTTTTTTTTTTTTTTTTCTTTTCCAGAAACGGAGAGGAGAATTCGTGCCAATAATCGCGAGTTCAACTCACAATTTAATTATGCGGTAAGACACAATCAAACAATTCTACGCAATAATTAAAATTAGAAAAATGATAATGACAAAACGCATTTTATTTTTTTCTTTTCAGAATAACTACATCAAGACGTCCAAGTATTCGGTTCTGACGTTCCTACCGTTAAATTTGTTCGAGCAATTTCAGCGGCTCGCTAACTTTTACTTCCTATGCCTGCTGGTGCTTCAGATGATCCCTGCTATCTCCTCCTTGACCCCCATCACTACAGCTATACCCCTTATAGGGGTGCTCATGCTCACTGCCGTTAAAGATGCCTACGATGATTTTGTAAGTATATTATAAGTATTATAATATACATTATATATACATAGTATTTAATATATTATTATATACATAGTATTTAATATTATTTTATCAATAATTATTTTTGTTAACAAATAAAATATATTTTATGAATATCATGTGATTCATTATGAATATATACATTTTGAAAAAGCCTGATTATTTTTTATTAGCAACGGCACAACAGCGACTCGCAAGTGAACAATCGAAAATCTCAAACATTGCGAGGCACTAGTCTCCGTGAAGAGAAATGGTCACAAGTGCAAGTAGGCGATGTAATTAGAATGGAAAATGATCAATTTGTTGCAGCCGATGTGCTTCTTTTATCTACTAGTGAGCCAAACGGTCTTTGTTATATTGAAACTGCAGAATTAGATGGGTTAGTATTTTTTTTTTTTAACATTTCTATTTTTATCATTTACAAAATTTTTATAATATGTTTTTATAAAACATATTTTATACAATAAATTATTCATTAAAATTATAGTTCAATAATGTAACAAAAAAATTAAAAAAACAATAACATATATTCGCTTATTGTAGAGAAACAAATTTAAAGTGTCGGCAGTGTTTAGCTGAAACTGCCGAAATGATGGATAATCACGAATTGATTGGTCAATTTGATGGAGAAATTGTTTGCGAAACTCCTAATAATTTATTAAATAAATTTGATGGAACTCTTACGTGGAAAGGACGAAAGTGAGTTCTTTTTTTTATTATTATTTTCTTTATATGTAATATATAATGTAAAAATATTATTTTTTTAATTTATTTTTATTAATTTATTTATTTTAAAAATATTATTTATATTATTTTTATATGTAAAAATAAAGTCAAATACTATTTCATATATAATAAAATTATATATTTAAAACTATTTTATATACAATACATTATAGATACCCATTGGACAACGACAAAATTATATTGCGAGGTTGCGTGCTCCGAAACACGCAATGGTGCTATGGTGTGGTCATCTTTGCAGGCAAGGATACCAAATTAATGCAAAACTCAGGGAAGACCAAATTTAAGAGGACTTCTATAGATAGATTGCTGAATCTTCTCATCATCGGAATAGT